TCTCCAAATTTGAAACAAGAACTTTTTACTACTTTTGACGTATACCTTTCCTGGCCTGCTAACTTGTACACAATGACAAGGATCCACTACGAAACTAGAATATATTACTATAAGCAGTGTACATTTTCATATTTACATGTCTCGGACAGGAGCGGACTGACAACTCATGGGGCCCCCGGGCAATAGGGGATCATGGGGCCCCTGTGTCCTTGCCCAAACTCAAAAAAGCCTATGAAAAAGGTACCAGGGGCATCTCATGGGGCCCCCTACTGACCCCGGGCCCTCAGGCAGTGCCCGAGTTTCCAAATGGTCAGTCTGCCCCTGGTCTTCGATATCCAGGTTGCTCATTTCTAACTGCTTAATCCGACTCTTCTTGATCACCCCTCATTAGGCTTCTTCCCCTACGGTGCACCATTGTGCTCAGTACAGGAACTTGGTACCTTTAGATAACCCCTTTTTTTTGCCCACTTTTTCTTACTCCCTCCGGAACCACTCTCCCTCTCCTTCCCCATCCCCTTTTTTTTCTCCCCCGGGCTCCTCCTTACCCTTCCTCTTTTCCCACTTTCCACTCCCATCCTGTACATCCTGTTTTCCATTCCCCACTCCCTAAGGTAGACTACCCCCCTCCGCAATTCCCGGCCCTTCTCCCCATTTCCCCTTTCCCTTTCTTCTCCCCTTTTCCTTTCTTCTCCCCTTTCCTTCTCCTCTCCCTCTCTTCCCCCTCTTCCTTCTTCCTCTGCCATTCCCCCCTGACCTTCTTCCTCCCCACTACCCCCTCTCTTTTTCCCTCTCCTGGGGTGATCATTACCCTCCCCACTTATCAGCTGACAAGGCGTTGGGATGGATTCGGACACAGTCAATTTTACCTCCTTAGTTTGAGGCCTCAGTGTCCCTGAAAAACGATCCAGGCTCCTCACTGACTTGAAGAAGATGAAGACACAAGTGACATTTCTGTAAGAAATGCACATTAAACTTGACCATGTCCCCAAACTGACCAACAGAGCTTCCCCAACGGCTTACCACTGCCCCTCACCTATATCGAAATCAAAGGGTGTGAGCATTTTGATAGCTAAGTCTGTCCCTTGGTCTCTCTGTGCGGTGCAACAGGACCCTCTTGGCCGCTTTCTCAAAGGCAAAATTGGTAAACATCTAGTCACCCTGGTGAATGTATATTTCCCAAATGTGGACCATCTCCCCTTCCTGCACAGTATGGTAGCAGCGGAGACTTAAACTTAGCAATGGAGCCAACACTAAATGTCTCTAGGGGAAAGTCTTACCTTTCTTTCGCCCGGCTGAAATGTCTCAAGGTGGAACTTAATCTTCTGCATCTTGTGGACCCATGGCGTATATCGCATCCCCAAGATAGAGATTACTCTTTCTTTTCTTCAGTCCACCAAACTTATTCATGCCTGGACTATCTCTTAGTCGATATACTTCTATCAGACCTTGCCCCGATCCAACTTGCCCTGCGATTGGGCTCCTCTGCCTGTAGCCCACCGTCCTGGTGGCTCAACGAAGCCTTTCTTCAATCTCCAGATATTCACCAGGCCATGGAGAGCACCAGATCCGAATATTTCTCCTTGAATTTGGGTTCAGTTGATAACCCGCTCTTGCTCTTGGAAGCCCATAAACCCGTTATCCGGGGCTCCCTGATTAGGATCGGTGCACATTTAAAGTGAGAAACGACTGTGCACGTGGACACTTTACTAGCACACTTGTGTCACCTTGAGAGTGTACATAAGGCCAGTCTAGCGCGCTCCACTTAGAGTGGCCTTATTAAAACACATCAGGAGTTCAACTCCCTCCTTTTTCATAAAGTCAAACAGAGGTTGGCATGGTCCCATCGTACAATGTATGAGTTCTCCAACAAACCAGGTACCCTCCTGGCGAGAGCACTTCTTGGCTCGTACATGTATATTCCACATTAATTTCACCTCCGGCCACAAATTAACTACTTCAGACGCCACAGCCTTCTATCATGGCCTATACAATCTGCATCCAACAGCCACTCATATGGCTGCCCAGGCCTTTTCCTTAGACATCCGGTTCTATGTGACCTATGTCAGTGAGTAAGAAGTTGGATTCTCCGATCACAGCTTACCCCCTTCATCACCAGGCCATTTTGTGCTATTTGGCACTGTGCTACATTAACTGACAATTGTGCGGTCATGCAACACTGTACCCAAGCAAGTTTATATCACTTTTTTTTCACACAAATACAGCTTTCTTTGGGTTTCTTGGGTTTTTTATTTTTTATTAAATAAAGAAAAAAGACCAACAATTTTGGAAGAAAAGAACACATTTTCTAGTTTTCTATCCAGTAAAAAAAAAGGTTTTTTTTTAATAAATATAGGCTAAAATGTATTCTGCTACATGTCTTTGGTAAAAAAAAACAATAATTGTATTTTAATTTGTTTGTGCAAAAGGTATAGCATCTACAAACTATGGTATACAGTACTGTATATAGTGGAATTTAAGCAGCTATGACGCTATACTGGTAATGGCAGTGATCAATTACTTATAATGGGACTGTGGTAGTGTGGTGGACAATCTGGCTCAGAGGTACACTAACTGACACTGACATCAATAGTGACACTAATACAGGTATTAGTGCTAATACTGTACACTGTAACTGTTCTAATGACATTGACTGAGGAAGGGGTTAACATCTAGGGACAATCAAGTGTTAATTGAGTGCTTTAGGCCCCATTCACACTGATGGTCCAATCAGGTCCGCCTGTCAGTTTTTTTCAGGCAGACCCGATCGTACCACTTATAGACCTCCATGGACTGGCGGCTGTCAATGGACAAATTTGCGCTGACACCTGCCAGCATCTTATCCGATCCTGTACACCAAAGGCAGACATTCCCCATTCACCCGGCAGATCGGATGACAGTCGGGTGGAACAAACAGGCGGTCCGTTTCCATCGGAAAGAGCAGGCTGTGTCTGTGTCCACTCTGCAGTGGTGGAACGGACTCAGACCTGTCATCCACTTGCTCAGCGGGGATCAGCAGAGAGATCCCCCGCTGGGCAAAAGATCCGCTGGCGGGTCCACCCTGTCTGAAAGGGGCTTAAAAATGTGTAATGTGTGTACTATGTTTTGCTTTTACTAATAAATCTGGCTGGTCTTTCTCCCTGCTTTGCATCACAAATGTTTTGTTGGGTGAATGACCACAACTTCTTATAGTTTTCCACCAAAAATATTGTGGAATGCCTTCTCAGAGGAGTGGAGGTAGACATATGTTGGCGGAGAAGGGGCAGCTCAATAGAAATGGTCATGGGTTTGGAATGGGATGTCCAAAAAGCTCCTATTGGCGACCAAGCCAAGTTCAACTGACTGCAGATCTCAAAATAAAATATACATTGTTATTGGTTGCTTCAGGTTTCCATAATATGGCTTCTGCCCTTATGAAATAATTCTGTAAGTGACAGTACTTCTTCATACGTTGGATAAGCAGAGTCAAAATGGCCATCAAGTGTATTATGGATATTCTGTCATGTACTTTACGCAAATAGTTCTTCTAATGCAGGTCACGGGGGTGTATTTACCACAAGGCATTTGCCTAGGGTGGCATTTTTCAGGAGGGCAGCGGCATCTTTCGCGGGAGCAGCTGCATTTTTCAAGGGGGCAACTCCGCCTCCCAAAAGAAGGGATGGAAGAAAGGACATACACAGCATGGGGACCAGGTGGGATCTGAGAGAGGCTGTGGGCTGCTTGATGGTGTATGCACAGGGTGTTCCCAGGGATGTCCTGAGCTGTGAAGGTGTGCGTTTTCTCTCTCACAGGGGTGGGGGTTGCCAGTGTATGGGGGGCAGTGGTAGTGGAAGGGCCCTCTCGGGTGGGGTCTGAGGTGTTGTTGGTCAATGTCAGGCTCTCTTCGTGGGGGAGGGGGGTGATGGTCGGTGTCAGGCTCTCTTCGTGGGGGATGGGGGTGTTGGTTGGTGTCAGGGTCTCTCCATGGGGCTGGGGAACCAAATTTTGTGTCACCTAGGGCATCACGAAACCTAAATACACCACTGGCAAGTCATACATGTTAATCAGATTGTACAAACTCTGCACATTCTTCTTTTACATTTACACAGAATTCCATAATATGAGGGCCCTGGAATAATTTTGGTGTGTCACCTAGACAAGAAGCAATGGTATGTCACTTCAACAGGGATACACACAGCAACAAAAACCTAAATCATGGTTTAAAGCCGTGGGCTCAAAAGAACTTTATCACTTTGTCCACTCAAGACAAAGTGACAGTTGCTTATTAAATAATAAACCTATCAGTTGATACTTACCTTCTTCATGGTCCCCTGCCTCTCCTTTGATCCACAATGGGTAATTCTGGGTATAGAGGAATATTTGACCTCTGCAGTGCAGAGCGGCCAATCACCAGGCCCAAACATTGTCATGTGAGAGAGGGGAGGAAGTCATTAATCCTTTGTAAAGTACAGAACTATCCTATATGGAGTTTAGGGTTTGGACTGCTGGCTAGTCCAGTAGTTCCTGGCAGAGGAACGGAGTCACAGCGATGTGTCGGAAGGTAAATATCAGTAGGTGGGGGGCTGTTCTTTCACTCTGTTACTTTGCCATGAATGAGCAGTTTTAAATTGAAGGAGAAGTGTGGGAATATTAATTAATATACATACTTACCTCCCTGCTGCAACATCAATCTGATGCTTCAAGCTTTCCCCCACCAGCTCTAATCCCAAAAATTGAGCAATCACCTGACCGCTGATCACTCAGTTCTCTGGTCTACTCTGAGTACAGAGCATTTACTGCCAGTCGCCGCCTCTGTTCTCTGCACCTCCACTTGACAGCTTTGGTCATACTTCTCTTTTAAGAATAAAAAGGGAAAAGGTTTTGTCTGGACATCAATTTAGTGATATTACTATCATTTGTGAAGGTTGAAGAGCAATGGGCAACCTTCAATCCTGAACCTGATGCGGGGGAAATTACCTATTCGTACAACAGATCACGACTGCATTGACGGGAGAGCATTATACCTCTGAAACATTTCTCTCTCTCCAGGAGTCAGATATGAAGCAGATGGATCGAAGCATTTCATTTCATTCAGGCTTTCACAGGTGAAGTCGGGCGCTTTGTAGCAGTAGAAGGCCTCTTCGTAGACTGGATCTATGTACTCACAAATCTCCTTGCCCTCTTTCTCTTCAAGTTTAAAGCCACATGGGGTTATAGCTTCCTTGCCAAATTTTTCATATTTTCCAAAGAATCCAATAACTCCCAGACTGCTGTGCCTAGATCTCCAAAGAGCTGCAACCCCTTCGCTGGGGTAGAACAGCAAAATGGAGACTTTGCAATTTCCCTCCCAATACAATGGAAAATGGATATGATACGAGCCATTGTTGAAATCTTCTATCCTGCCAGACACAGCTGCTCCAAGCTCTGGAGAAAACAATCTTGGTCTTAAGAAGTCTCCCCCGTGGGTCTTCTTGTTACCCACGTAATCATACATATCAAGCTGTACCACCAAGTCTTCTCCCAGACAGTACTGTTGCTTGGGATTTGCTATGAAGAGCTTACTATTTCTCCCACTGCTGGTTCTGTTGAAATATGTAAATTTGACTTTTGGGATAAGTTTTTCTATCCTCTCAAACAGGTCATCTATTTTAAATTTGGAGTTCTGTTCTCGTTGTGGAAGGTTGGATTTCATCTTCTCCTTCTGGCACTGGGCCATCGCAACTTTGAAGCAAATATTTTAGAGATTTCTGCAACATATTAGTCAAAATGATAAAAATTAGTTTTGGGAAAAAAATGTTCCTTGAATTTTAACAGAACTTTCTGTAGATACAGAAACATGATTTGTTAGTGCAAAGTTTGCATAGATAATTGTGGATAATTAACATGAAATTTGGGTGGCACAGTGGCTTAGTGGTTAGCACGTCTGCCATGCAGTAAATGGGTGATGGGTTTTAATTCCCAACCATGGCGCCTCCTGCATGGAGTTTGCATGTTCTCCCTGTGCTTGCGTGGGTTTCCTCCCACACTCCAAAGACATGCTAGTAGGTTAATTGGCTCCTGTCTAAATTGTCCTAGTTTCATCCTTGGCCATGCGGGATCTCCTGCACGGTAGGGGTTGGGGAAAGACCTGGCAAACTACCCTGTAAAATAATTGCTAAGAGAATTCATGGAAAAAGTCGCTTATGAGTGATGGTCCATGCAATCGCCAAGGGTCAGATACGACTGAATGGATAGATAGAAAGTGAAATTTCAGAATAAACTTTTTTTTCTCTTATTTTAGATACAGTAGAACAGTGCTGGAATATCGGTAAAGTTTTTACTACTTTACTTTTACTACTTTTGTTTACTTTTGTTTACTACTTTACTTTTACTACTTTTGTTTACTACTTTACTTTTACTACTTATGTTTACTTTTGTTTACTACTTTACTTTTACTACTTTTGTTTAGGTTTTAAAGACCTGCAAATGGCAGCTGAAAGGTAAAAAGCCTGCGTAGAGGTAAAGTGGTGACCATGCACGGGCTAATATAGGAAGGTACCACATCCAACATAATTGCATAATTTAATCACCAAAAAGGAAGTATAGCGGACTTTTAAAGTATATGAACCCTCACCTTGTAAAACAACCCATTCCATTCTGCTTAAAATAGAAAAAAAAAGCAAAACATTTGTGTATAGATATAAAAACATTATAAATACATAATAGTGATCATTATGCCCCTTGAGGGTTAGGGACCTTAGATTGTACTCCCCTTGAGGGTACAGGTCTGATGTGAATGTACACTATATATATATATATATATATATATATAGCGCGCTGCGTACGTTAACAGAGCTATATAAGTACCTGAAATAAATAAAAAAATAAGTGCAGTTGCTCCAGAGCTTAGCAAGTGTGGTAAAGTTGTTTATTTCTGTCGAACCAGCATTTGATCAGTGCATGCAGCCAATGGCTACAGCCCTGATCTGTGTATTCTGATGGAGAGGGGGGAAGTCCTGCTGTCGGAATACAATAGTACAGTGTGGATGATTCCCGCATCAACCTCACTTTGTGTGGATGCAGGAATCTGGTAGGTTTTTGTTTAACCGGCTGGCTGAACGAAAAAAAATTGTCTGTGTATACCCAGCCTCTGTTTTTTACATGAGCTACATTAAAATAATAATAATTCCTTTCAAGAGTAATGAGGTTTTTATTGCTGTTCTTGTCCCCATTGGAGAAGATTGGTCCTCACTTCCTGTTTTTGGAGAGAAAGCAAAGTGAAACCCCACCACTGGCAGTTTTCGCTTTAAAATGAAGTTGAGGAGAAATCTCGTGCACATGAAAGTTGCTTGCTTGGAAAAGTGTCAACTTTATATACTACAGAACACCACAGGTTTTCTGTACTATAATCATCCATATACAAAAGAGTTTACCTGAAATTGGGTCCTGTGCCAACCATAGCCCAGAATAAAAATAGCGATTAGTAGAACTGCAAGATTCCATCTGCTTATGGCCATTCGTGCCTTGAAAAGTCTACCAGAAAAAGAGAACAAAGGTTATTCATGGGCAGAGAAGAGTAAAAAGGAAGGGGAGGGAGAGGAGAAGAGAGAAGAGGAGAGGAAAGGAGAGGAGAAAAAAAATGGGGAAGGGTAGAAGAGAGGAGAGGAAGAGAAAAGAAAAAAATGGGGAAGGGTAGAAGAGAGGAGAGGAAGAGAAAAGAAAAAAATGGGGAGGGTAGAAGAGTGGAGAGGAGAGGAAGAAAAAATAAAAAATGGGGAAGGGTAGAAGAAAGGAAAGGAGAGGAAGAGAAATGGGAAAAAATGGGGGAGGGAGAGGAGAGGAAGGGAAAAGAGAAAAAATGGGGAAGGGAAGGGGAGAGGAGAGGAAGGGAAAGGAGAAAAATGGGGAGAGGGAGAGGAGAGGAAGGGAAAAGAGAAAAATGGGGAAGAGAAGGGGAGAGGAGAGGAAGGGAAAGGAGAAAAATGGGGAGAGGGAGAAGAGAGAGGAAAGGAAAGGAAAGGAGAAAAATGGGGAGAGGGAGAAGAGAGAAATGGAAAAGAGAAAAATGGGGAATAGCAGAAGAGAGAAGAGGAGTGGAAGGGAAAAGAGAAAAATGGGGAAGGGTAAAAGAGAGGAGACAACATGAAATGGAGAAGGAAGGAAAAAGAAGGGTGGGGAAGGGGAGCTGTGAGAAAGGGGGAGAAGAATAGGGAAGGTGAAAAGAAGAGAAGAAATGAGAAGGAAGGGAAGGACAGGGGAGGAAAGGAAAAGGGAAGGAAGAGGACATGATAGGAAAGGAAAAGAGAAGGGAGAGGAGAGGAAAGGAAAATATATGGGAGATGAAAGAAAAAGAGAAGGGAGAGGGAAGGAGAGGAAAGGAAAAGAGAAGGGAGAGGGAAGGAGAGAAAAAGGAAAATATAAGGGAGATGAAAGGAAAGCGAAGGGAGAGGAAAGGAAAAGAGGAGAGAGGGAAGGAGAGGAAAGGAAAAGAGAAGGGAGAGGAAAGGAAAACAGGAGGGAGAGGAAAGGAAAAGAGAAGAGAGAGGAAAGGAAAAAGAGAGGAGGGAGAGGAAAGGAAAAGAGGAGGGAGAGGAAAAGAGAAGGGAGAGGAAAGGAAAAGAGCAGGGAGAGGAAAGGAAAAGAGAAGGGAGAGGAAAGGAGAGGCTAAGAAAGGAAAGATGAGGAAAATTGATGGAAATTAAAGCAAAAAGAGAAAAGAAAGAAAGAAAGAAAATGCATGAGAAGGAAAAAGAAAGGAAAAGGGAATAGATAAGAAAGGATTGATTAAATAAAAACAAACTATTGTAGCCCTCAGCAACTACTGTAAACTGATGAACATTGAAATGCTGTCATTGTGGCTTATGCTGCCATGGATGTCAACCTTTTATCTATTGGCATGCTATATAATTATTGTTTTAAACAAATGGCCAATACTATGTTACTGTAGGTTGTATGCCTGTGTCTATGGGCTTTTGTTTGCATCAAACGGATTTAGCGTTCCCTAAAATGCAGATTAAGAATTAGTTAACTAAAGGTCAAATGTATCTGCCAAAGAATTCTGATCGATCTCAGAAACATTTCAAACCAATGCCATCAACACAAGCCCAAAGTCACAGTTAACAGGCCCTTATACCCATTTGGCAAGGTGCAGAGTGATGCAACGGTAGTAAACACTCAGAGTCCAGTTGCAGGAAACAGAACTTGTATTAAATTTGAAGTTCTAACTTCACAAACAGACCAGTGGGAAAGCACCCAACCAGGAATGTTCACAGAGTGCAATAGTGGTATGTAGCAGAGCAAGTCTGAGATGTGCCAATGATGCGCCTGTCTTAAAGGGTGAAATGTGGCCTGGCCGGTTCATACTCAAATGGCAAGATTCCAAGAAGGATGGTATATCTGTACCCTTTCCCTACTCACCTAGAACCTTTCACTACCGCCAGTCACTATCACTGACCTGTCCCTACACTACCCACACGCGGAATGCGTGCCAAGCCCAGTAGCCAGGGTCTTAAATAGATTCTGCCTGACCCAAGATGGCTGCAAGAGTCACGTAGGGAGGCAGCATTGAGCATTTGTCCCTGTTGACAAAGTCCGGATGTGACGAAACGCGTCGGGGGCACGTGACGTAGTGACGCATTGACGTTCCCGGAAGTGCCGTGGTGGCCATTTTGGAGTCTGGAACACATGGTGGTCATATCCCTGGGACTTTCAGTCTCTATCTGGCATCCTTCTAGAGCTTAACGACCATCGTTTTGGAGCCATTGTTGGGTATTATCGCTGTATATACAGCCTATATGATCTGGAAGCTGTTTTTATCGGTTTTAATGTAAGTTATTACAATAAAATTTGTATGTTGTTTGATTCATACGCTGATCCCTGGTCTGTTTGTGAGGTCTATGGGAAGTGTCGGAGAAGATGACGTCTTTCTGAGGAAACTCCATTCTTAAAACATGGATTATATGTGGGTTTTATTTACTTTAGGGTAATTATACACTTTTATTATATTGTTTGCTGTGGTGTAAACGGTTTTTAGCTAATCCCTCACTATTGCTGTGGCACTGGAGTGTTTGCATGCTGCACGTGTGGCACCTCTTTGAAACCTAAGATAATACACTATGTCTAGGTTTTTTTTTCCTTTGAGGTATATGAAGAGTGTTTGGGCATTCATCACCAATCATCTGGATCAGTGTGTATCTATTGATCAAGACTGAGGACTTTATGTGCATATTTTTTCCAAATTCTGGACTTTCTTTGGACTTTTGTTGGACTTTGGGTGTATTTTTTTAAGTCTGTATAATTTTCTTTCCATTGAGCTGGATAGCTTCCTTACTGACCCCAGAAACCATAGAGGAACCATGTCTCTCTTGACATCCTCTCCTTCTGCAATGCCACTGCGGATGAGCCACTTGCAGTGGAGAAAGTAGACTGCACTTGTCAACACCAAGTCCTACTATAACACTCTACAATACACCCCACAAACTGCCAAAGCAGCAACTGCATTTGAGATGGCTTCTTGTTACTTTAACTTACAACGAGTCTTGGAACTCCTCTTAGTCCCTTCTACACCTCTCCCAATTCAGTTCTGTTGCTAAACATACTCATAAATGTATAGAGATGGCCACCTAAAGGCCGGCCCCTATCCAAAATTCATAGCCCAGTTTTTGGTGGGCTGCAGTGGTTTTTATCACCCACGAACTTAGTAGACCTCTGTGG